TAAAGTTGATCAACGCCTGCTTCAGTCTATATGTTTGTATGTATGTATGTAAGTATTTACTGTGAACGCGAAATATTGTTAATCCCATTGATTTGTGTTAATGATTACCATTGACACTGCTGACCAAACAGCTGTGGTTCAGCATTGCTGTTGTCGCCCTGTTCGTCGTCGGCCAACCAAATTCGTTTTGGGGTTTTTGTTTAAATTTACGGCACAGATGCGGTTTGCGGACCCAAAAACCAAGGACAACCAAACCAAGCAGCACAAGTTCTACTTGAGCATTTCAAGTGGACTTTGAGGTAAATTGTCGCATCAATTCTGTGTACACGTTTCTATATGTATGTGTGTGTATTTGTGTGTGTGTTTGTGTGAGTGTGTTTGCCTTGCTCCTTGGTGTATTGATATTTCACAAGAAATCAACACACAAATAGTAAAGAACACACACAATTTCAAATCTCACTCCACTCACTTTGTCACCATTTGCAGCGGAAATGAAAAATCAAATCGAAGAAAGGCACAGGAAATGTAGCTCTTCGAATTTCACTTGACGTGTGTATCTGTGTATGTATGTGTGTGTGTGTGTGTGTGTGTGTGTGTGCTGTCCTCTATGCTGTTTAAATTTAGCCAATGTCTAGCATTGCCAAAGTGCTCTCCACTCTTGACTATTTATCTCTCTTCTGGCCCATGTGTGTGTTTACCTACTCAGCGCTGTCATAGACATAAAATCGTATTTTTATTGTTTCTTGCTACATTGTTTTCATACACTTGCTGACCATTGAATACTTTGACTTTTACAAAGTAGTTTGTAACACCAAAATCAAATAATAACGTTTACAACTATCTGTAATGTGCCTCGAATGTTCAAAGTAAAATGTAATCAGACCAGCAGAAAAAATAAATATATTTGATGGAAAATAATGATATATTAAGTGGTTAATTTACTGATGACAGACAGATCGTAAGATTGTCACATTTATTAAATAATAGAAACTTTTAAAATATCATAAAAATAAATGTAAATGTTTTAAGTTTACATTGTTACTCTTTTGGACAACAGCCAGGTTTTTTCTAATAGGCATCAGGGTACCTCATAGAAATCTGGTAACCTGTCTAAGACCGAAGAATGTATTAACTGTTCTTTAGTGTAGATATGTGTAAACTGTTTTACAGCTCGCTTACACACTGCAAAACTTTGAAGCTGGATTTACCAAAGAAAGCTTCATTAAATATCGCTTAAAAATGTCAAAGAAATATAGAATACAGCTCATCCTGTCCTAAGTTGTTTTTACAAAGGTATCAGCATATTGCGCAGTCGGTTTCATCCGAGTTCCAAGTGCTTACTTTATTATTTTGAAAAAAATAAATAAGCAATCTACCATACAAATAAGAAAGAAATGTCACTTTTGGCACGCCGAAGACTGCAGACCCTAGAACTGACTAAATCTGCTAAAATCTAAATCATAAAATTAAACAAGCAAATTGTATTTATACATTTTCTGGCTGTTAACTGATCTCAGTAGCTTTGTATGAGAAATTATTACATATATTTCTACGCATATCTCGTTCCCACAACTTAAAAGATATATTTTGACCGATCGATACAATAACAGTTAGATAATATAGTGGTCCTGTCAGTTCCGAATTATAAACTAAAAAACATAAAGAAAAGGATAATATATGAGGAGAGACGGAGACGTATCCTTCGACAAACTAATAAAGCCCTCAACAAGGGCATACAAAATGAGAGTATATCAAATTCCCTTTATTATAAGCAAAACTTTATTGTTGGTTTATTGTTGGCATTTGTCTGTGCTTGAGACGGTTTTATCTTCTTGGCCATAAGCCTAAGCAAATACAAACCATTTTCTTTCGATGAAAAAAATCATCAAAATGTATGGCAAAAAAGTAGCGTGGATGGAAATGGCGAAATGCCTGAAAATAATCAATTGATTCGGTTTACTGAATGATGGAAAGTCTACATGACTGCCACACGCGATGTACTCGGCAAAGATGTGTAAAGTTGCACTAATTTATTGAAATCATTTACCGCAAATCAGACAATTCCCGTTCCGTGCACAGGGACTAATTAAATATTGAATGCGTCTTACAGTTGCTGATGAATTTGTTTTCATTGATTAGTTGGCAACCATGCCATGTACCTGATGTTGAGCACACAAGCTGCGACAACATCTACGCCAGCTGCACCGATTCCCAGAGGTCTGATTGAACAATGAATGATTTAATTAATAAATAAATAAGTGAGTGCGTGCAGCAGCAGCAGCAGCAGGAGCAGTAGCAGTAGTAGTCGGGTAATTGCAGATGCAAAATGCATTACACAAGTGTGACTAACAATTAATTATTGAGCACCGCTAGCAAGTACGACAATTTCAGTTTTAACTTGTCACTGCCACTAGTCGACAACTTGTTTAAGACACTTAGTGACAATTATTGGTAGACATTTGCCATTTGAGATTCGATGTCGCTTTGATCATTGAAACGATACCAATTCAAGCAGCAATTAGAAATAAAACATTTTAGATGCATATCGAATTTAGTCACGTTTGTTCAAAATATGTATATATATCCAAACACTTTGTCTGTCCAAGTTTCTAGGCATGAAATCGAGAATATTAAATTACCATCCAACTTGGCATCGCACACATGAATGGGTGTGGCCAATTTGAAAGGCCAGCAAAGCGAGTGCAAGCCAATTTCTATACAATTTGCCGGCTATTGTATTGCACGCTCAAAATTTCAACAAAATTTCATATTTATTGCGGTTTTGGCGTCAGCCTCAACTTAAACTCAAATTCGATGCCTTGTGGGCCATTTAAGATTTTAAAGTGAGGCCAACCGCAAACTAGTTTCCTCCCAACCTGCTCAACAGCAGTGGAAGTGGGGAAGCAGGGTGGCTGAAGAAGGGTTCGATATGTGGTCTAGGCCAGGGTATTCATGACAACCGCAGCCCACAGAAACTTTCACAATCGAAAATGATAGCCTTGGGGTCCCAAGACTACTGCGAGTGAGCTGCAGCTGCTCCAGCAGCACTCACTGTTCCACTGTCAATTTGAAATGATTTCATTTTGTGTAGATATAAGCTGCATAAGCCCAATATACGCCAAAAATTGTACGGATATCCGGTCGCCTTCCAGCACCAAAGGCGCGCGCACAGTCGTCAATCATACCTAGAGGCAGGCACTCCATTAAAACGCAATTAGTGCCGATTGGAATATGGATGGCGAGTTCGAAGTGCTCCGATTGAAGTTGAGGGACTGCTACTTGGGGTGGGGGAGGGGCTTCAAAGTTCTTGCATTGGCCCTTGCCCGTTTTGCAATTCAAAATGAAATGGAAATTTCAGAAAAGAGCACTGACAATCAAATTAGAGAACCGCTCATTATGTAAAAGTCCCCTTTTTGCGCAAATCAATAAAACTCAACCGTAAACGAATCAAACTTAAAAGAGCCAATCATACGTAAAATATTGTCAAATGCGCCAGTCAAGTGCATGATTAAACCAGTTAGGCTGATGTAGTCGACGCGTCGAGTGAGCACAACTACGAGATATCCTGAACTCAGTTATTAAATATTTGATCAGAGTTACACACTCAAATGTAAGCAGGTGTGGAAGTGCTGTCAGCCGGCACAGTCACTGAAGGATAACACACAAAAAAAAAAAAAAATTAAGGCAGCACATGTTTTTATTCACAATCTGCAACTGAAATCGCCGACGCGTGCATATACATATACATATACGTATCTGCATTATTTGTATATATAGCATCATAGATATCGTTGTGCTGCAGAATTCCCCCACACACACACACACACACACATTTACACAGTCATATTCTCATGCATGCAATTGCATATTTATGAAATGCTGCAAATGCTGGCGCCTGCTGATAGTATGGCAATCAGTAAGAGAATACATTTTGGGTCATAGCCTGGATATTCCTTTGCAGTTTTTCAAATTGGTCAAAAATATTATGATATATAACAATTGGAAGGCTCAGCGTTTAAGCTTGTTTCTTTTATTTTGTAAAACAGTAGCAGTTATCGAGGAAAATAAATAAATAATAAATAAAATTAAATAAACTTAAACAGCGAAACTTGAAGACTCTTGCTATTTAAGTCTGTTAAACAGAAAAAGAAGAATAGAAGAAAATTAAAAAAAAAAAAATAAATAAAACAAATATGCCCATTTTGTTCATCTTTAATGGGTGTGTGACTGTGTTTTGGCATTTGGCTGCATGTGTGTGGCACTCGAGCCAAAGGACGGTCGCAGATTTCGCGTGAAAAACAAAATAGGCTGTTGGCAACCACAATTCGCACGGCACAGATCCGTTAACTAAGGACCTATTGCCATTATGGGATTGACTTATTGTCGTGGCATGTAAATAACAAAGCAGCTGCAGCTACAACCAACAACATTTGCTTGTCGCGACAGAAATTGGCAGCAATGCAAGCCGACAAAAACAAAATGGATGCCAGACATAGCTGTGTACCAATAATGGCCAGAACAACAAACAGTCAACACTTGCACACCCAACTGCACACATTAACTCTTTTGTACACAACAAACGGACCAAGAAGCGAGCGCTAAGCAAATGTTTACCCAACTGCTCCCAAGCCAGTCAACAAGCCAGCGCTTGGATCTGCAACCTAAATACACGTTTATCAGGAATATATATATAGTTCATCTTGATTAACGGGAAAATCGATTATTGATGCACAGAAGAAATCAATATACTTTTGGCGCCAAGTGTAGCTCATTCAAATTATTATTCAGAATGCATATTTCTAAGACAGCAGGTAATATCTTTCAATAAAAAGGCTTTTCTTTTTTTAATTACAACTTGGAGCTGAAGAGTTGAATTAAATAAACTTTTCACTACTACAAAAAAAACATTTGTGACACGTTCAACGATCTTTGTACAGTTCTTACCAAAACAGTTCTTATATTTAACAAACCAAATTAGTTGCTCAACAAAAAAATTGCTTGATTATAAACCCAGTCAACCGATCGATGTTACTCATTGAGAAACTAGACTTATTTTAAATTACCGTCTAAACAATGTCTATCTACATATTATAAGTATTTTTTAAAGTTATAAGCCACGTCTGTGGCACGCTGCATCTCATCAACATGGCAGCTGGAGGCAACCAAACATCGCCACAGTCTCCGAGTCCCGTAATATTTGCTCGCAATTTTTTTCGGGCCCTTAACGATTCGGGGGCGGTCAATGGGAACAATTTAATCGTCTCACCAGTTGCGGCACGCAGTGCCATGACTCTGGTGCTGATGGGCTCCGGCGGAAAGAGTGCGGACGAGTTGCGTTCCGGTCTTTTGCTGGGCACTGTAAGAAAACTGGAAATCGCCAGGCAACATGCCGAGTTCTTGAACACGGATTGCGTTTGCAATCCGAAGGGAGTCTCAATGCGCTTAGCCACCGGGCTGTATGTCAAACACGATCAGCAGCTGCACGCCGACTTCAATTTGAAAGCTGTGCAGTTCTTCAACGCTCAGGCAGATGGACTCAACTTTGCCGATGCGGCAGCTGCAATGCAGCATGTCAATAAATGGCTCGAGCGGCAAACATTTTACACTGTTCGCCATTTGCTTAGTCCGGCATCTTTCAATCCGAATTCGAGCGTTATTTTGGTCAACTCCCTGTACTTTCGAGCCAAGTGGGCAACGCGCTTCTCCGTGGAGCGCACTGCGATAGACGATTTCTGGATCAACCAAAATCAGAGAATGATGGTGCCCATGATGCGACAGGTGTGTGTTTAAATTGGGCAGTAAAGCTTTCAGTTTTCCAACTACTGCAAAGATTAGATGATCATAGCTAGTTAGCTTTGGTTGCTTGTCAAAGAATTCCGAATTGTCTACAAGGCAGGGAGAACAAGGCTTCGGAGGTCTTCTCCTCCCAAGAAGTGCTGGATCAAGTCTTCTTAGTCTTCGTCAAGACAACTTCTATAGAAATTATATTTAGATTAATTTATTTATTTATTATTTATATTATATATATTTATTTATATAAGTACTCCTATACCACTAAGATTTACATGTGTTCTTTGTAATTGGTTTTCTTCATTTTTGCAGGAGGGACAATTCCGCTTTGGCGAGTCGCGAAGGCTGAAATCGCGTATTCTGCAGTTGCCCTTTGAGGAATCGGACATTTACATGCTGTTCATAGTGCCACATGCCGTAAATGGCCTTGCCGCGCTGGAATCGAAGCTAAGCAAGCTGGATTTGAACGAAGTGGCACGAAAGGCAGTGATGCATGATGTTGATGTAACGTTGCCCAAGTTCAAGATCGAATGCGAGGTGGATTTAAAATTGCCCCTACAGAAAGTGAGTAAGCCAATTGCCTATGTCTAACAACTTTACCCAAATATATGTATATCTATGTCAGTTGGGAGTAAGGCGCATCTTTGAGCCAGGCGCCGCTGATCTGAGTAGACTGTTTGCCAAAAAGTCGCCCCATCGCATTACAGAGGCAAGACAGAAAGTCTCTTTAAATGTAAACGAATCCGGCTGTGGCACAGCGGACCACACACGTAAGCCACACACACATTTAATATGCGGAAATAAATTCATCAAGTTATGTTTCCTTTAGAAGGTCGAGTTGCTGCCGCAAAGGTCAATCCGGAGCGGAAAGTGTTTAAGGCGAATCAGCCATTTGTGTTTGCCATACGGAGCAATAAAACAGTCTATTTTGTGGGTCATTTTCTCAAGCCCTGATTAGCCCAAGCAACTGACATTGTAATTTACAAATAAATCAATGAGTATAACACTTAAGCGTTTTCGACATTTTTATTACGAACCCCTTTCCAGTGCAACAACAGCCGGGGCAGTCTGGAAAATTGTAACAAATGACAATATGCCAGGAGCATCAAATGATTACCGCTCAAATGTATACAATGCAGAAGTGCACACAGACACCGGCGACGGAGTCAAACATACAAAATCATGCAAACCAACTAAAGATAGGGTATAGCAGGGCATGACTGACTATGTAACTCTTTATGCCTTTTTGTAGATGCGTCAAACGAAGATTAAATAGGCTTAAGATAAATCTTATCAGTTGGTTTGTATTGCAACTCAGTGAAATTCGCAAGCTGAGCAAAGGGTATTTACTAAAGACATACAAAAAGCCAGAGCAAACCAAACAAATAACAAAATGGCAGTTGGTTTCAATGAAGTGAGTCCGTGGGTGGCAAATAGAAGTTATGGCAGCAGTGGATGCCCCAACAGATCATTGAGAAATTCGCTGATATGAACGGAGCCAACTTGCAACACGCAGTCGAGGCGGGCGAAGCGCAATGAAAAGCTGAAAAGCAGTAAAAGAAACGTCGCGACGTTGGCATTGCCCCATGCTCCATGCCCCATACCCTATGCCCCGTGCCCCATTTCTTTTGGCAAAATGCTGTACAGCTTGTTAGCCAATTTTAAATACAACTACTGCCACTGACAGTAATCAAGATTGCATGGCGGCGGTGGCAACAACAATGCCAAATGACATTTGGATGGGATGTGGGGGATGCGGGGTGCGGCTAACAAATGAAAAATAAGTAATTTCCCAACTGTGCTGAACTATGTACGCAGCAGCAGTTGAGACAAGCACAAGCAACAAGAAGGGGCAACTGAAGCTGGACTGCTAGCTGAAATTGGAGTCGAAGTTGGCGTTCAAGTTCGCGTCCGGTTGCAAACTTTGCCGTCCAATTCATCGATGATTGTGCCGTGGAATGGCCGTATGCCATTGGCATTGCCATTCTGTAGCGTCTGCCATTGATGGCCACTGCCAGGTATTGTGCAAATGTTTATCTTTCGGTTTCAGTTTTGGCGCTATTCGCTGCGCATCTTCCTTGATTTTACTTACTAGCGGCCCCTAGGCCGCTGGCGGCGCCACCAAAACGGATGTGCAGCTGCACAAACTTTGTAAGGGAATTGGAAAATTGGTCTCCAGTCGGGACAGTTTGGTGTAATTTCGAAATGCTAATGTAATGTCAGCGTAATGAAATTACCGAAATTGCTGCCACACAAAGTAGTAAAAGCTAAATAAATTAAATTAATCGAATCTCTCGATTGAGTTCAACCATTCAAGTGCTGCTAATATGGAAGCACTTATTTTATTACGTTGCTCAAATATATTTTGAATATGTTTTTTTTTTGCATTTAAAAACATTAACGCTGTCGCTGCAGAAGTGTATTTAATTATTTATTTGGCAACGCAAAATAGTCAGTTCAATAAACAATTTGTTTGGAGTTGTTTGTTGCTTTGGTTTTTTTGCAATTGGCAATTTCCCAAATGGCCCTTTAAAATGATGATGTTAAAAAGGATGCATATGAATATTTGCCGGTTCACATCAAGTTATATATATTCGATAGCAACTCAATAAATCAATAGCCTGAAAAAGTAATTTATAACCAATCAAACGCATCCTCATGCAACAGCGAGTCTCAATAGCCGCCGGTCACAAAATGTATTAAGCATCTTCTTTTGATCGCAATGCAAACAACAAACGTGCTGCTGTTTTTAGAGGGGTATATGAATACCATATACATATACGTACAACAGAATGTATATATCTAAATATATGTATGCATATGCATGCAAACAATCGTTTCACAAATTGCATAAGCCAACCAGCAATAAAAGCACAGCAGCAGCAGCATTGCATAATCAAATCCAATATGTATCTCTTACTATCTCTGCGTATGTATTTCCATTTAACAGGAACTCAATACACATATATACATATTTATATATATATATATTGTTTGTATTGCATCCTACCCAATTATGATAGCCCTATTAGAAATTTGCTCATATTCCGGTTGCAAAATGTCATTTCATAAGTTGACCCTGCATTACTATTTGTAGGCCAATTTGTGTGTCTCTCGGACAACAGTTGTAATAATCATACATTTGTGTGCTCCTCTATTCTATTTGGTATTCCAAATGTCAAATCTCATTAATACGAAATTGGTTTGACTTGCTGGTGATGTTTGCCTTAAATATAAGGCCATTTTCTACTGCAATACTGAAGATAGATGACCCAAAATGAAAATCACCCTGAAAACTAGATGCGTTTTCTGTACTAAAAGAAGAATTTCAAATTTGTAAAAATCTTTTCTATTTTTCAGAATATATTTCTTAAAAATTTTAAATATTTCACTTCACTTTCAAAATTCAGAAAATGGTAATTAAATTTTGACTGCTGAGAGTCTGTATATTTCCCAAGATTTGAAGACTATAACACATTTAGAAGGCTAATTACTGGTAACCTCAAAAGTTGAACCCCAAGCATCTTCAGCTAATAACAGAGTATTACGCAGTCGATTATGTACATTCATATCGACCTTCCTTTATTTATCAGTTGGAAATTATTCATATATGTTTTTGTCTGATCAAATTTAAGCAACAAAGACGCGATTACATTACAATTTTAAAGTCAGAAATGAGGTGTGGAAACGCAGTGTGAGTTGGCAGTGGCAACACAAAAATGGCTTGCCACAAGCGTCGCTTATCGCTCAGCTGCAGCTTAAGAGCCGTTTAATCCATCACAGGACGGCAGCTGGCGAGTGCAGCCGGCATAGACAGACTCCACCTTGCCCCATAGTTTGTGGCAGCACGCGTGTGTTGCAGACCGTGCAAAGTGCTGCCGTTGCTTGATAATAAGCCGTCATGCCACTGCGACGGCCCGGACAGGTTTCCATTGTGGCAACGGACTGTGTAAGAGTTGCATACAAAAGTTGCCCGTTAATTTCATATGCGAGGCAGTAAATTTAGCCAGAGTCGGATGCGACTCCTAACTTCAAATCAGGGGAAAAAAAAGAAGAAGGCAACGAGTCGTGCAGGTGATTTAAAAGCCATTTGTCAGTGGAAAGAAGAGTTTGGGCGATTGGCTTGGGTCACTGAAATTATTCAAATTATCTTGAGCAAGATTTTACTGTCAAAAGCCTTCAGGAAATCACACCAGCAACAATAATATGAATGGACCACGACCAGACAAATGCAGCAGCCGTTACCCCAAGGCAGCAATCAAACGGCTTTAGTGCCATTCTTTTATCGCATACCCTCCCATTCAGTACCCCCTTCTGCAGAATCCAATGTTGAAGTTGCCAAACGCACCCCTAGAAACAGCAACCGGTAGCTGACAGGCGACAGGCTGCTTCATCCTGCTCCTGTTCGTCCTGGCTGCGCCTCTGTCGCTGCTGATTCGCTGCTGATGCTGTTGTTGTCGACAATTGTAAATCCCATCTATTATAAGTGCTTCTTACCACTTGGAGCTGAGCATTGACATTTGGTTAATGGCAAAAATGTCACCGAAATGCAGACAAACAAGCAGCTGCGTTGACAGCAGCCCAAGACATGCCCAAGACACTGAAACAGACCATTTCCTGCTCTTTAATATACAAATTATCATTGTAGCATTTAGCCACAAGAAAAGAAATGCTTTTTTGTTTGTTTTGCATTCGCATATTCAATATACAAAATAGTCGCAGCTTTAACTGAAGCATACATTTTTTAAGGCACTGTGTGTAATTTATTAAACAGCGGGCAGGCTTTGAGTGTGTGTTGGAAATCAAAGGCAATCATAAATCAAATACAATTTGATTCACTGATTAGAAAGACAGCTGCAAAACTACAAACACACTCACATAGTATATGTGTAGGTCTATTGTGTGTGTATATGTGTGTGGGTAGGTGTGTGTGTGTTTCAGTTGCTTTAACGCACCTATTTAATCAACCCAACCCAAACCCCAACGGCAATTGATTAATAATGACGCTCACAGCATGAGATGCGGAATGCTTAGTTACAAAGCATAGAGGAATGGTGTGCACAGGGGCAGGGCAGGGGGCGTAGGACAGGCAGTTAGGGGGTCAGCTGTCAAAACTCAACTTAACATGGAATCAATATGGATTTCATATCTAAGATGTATGAAAGAATTACAAAATTCTCTGCCCGCTTTCAAAATGGCGTGGCCCCCCTTACAAAAATTCCCCAGCTACGCCCATGTATATCTATCTACATGTGTTCGAGCTGAGAGAAAGAGAGAGTGAGTGAAAAAATTTCAATGTGCAGATATTATTCGAAGCCTTAAAGCCATATCGAACAAAAACATTTGCAATGGCAACAATTCCAAATTGCTTTCGTTTCATTCAGTGTGTGTGTGTGTGTGTGTTGTGTGTGTGTGTGTGCTCTCAAAACCAATTAATTCACATATTTGATATGAACATTAATATGCAAGGTGCCTAATTGAAAAGGACATGATGTGGCCACAGCATACAGGTTATGTCAAAATTGCCCCAAAACTGTACAAAATACTCGTACTTGCACACATCAAATGCAAAGTGTCATGCCGGTTTCGGATCGGGTTTTTGGTGTCGGTTTCGCATTTGTTTTGACAACTGGTGTCGACGAGTTCCTTTTTTGTTATTGTTTGCATTCATTTGCAAGTCCTTAATTTGCCTTTTATTGTGCACACATGGATACAGTTCGAGCAAAGTGCAGTTCAGGCATTATTTAGTTGCAAACGCAACAATAACTCATTAGCATAACATTTCCATCTCCCAACTCCAGCCGACGACGACGACGACGACTTGTCGTGCAACATATGCGGCAACATTTCACTCTGTCAATCAGTGCAAATTCAGCGACATTTGACAGTTGCAAATGTCAACGTTGCATGATGGATGCGAAGAGCTTGTAAACACCCAACCTAATCCTTCCCGCCTCTAACTGGCCTACCCATTAAAGTGCCTATAAAATTCACCTTTCACCTTATTGGCC